AGGAACCACACAAAGAAAGGGCTACAAGTTGACATAATAAATTTTGACAAGGGGCAAGCAAAGACATAAACAGAAGATTAATTGAGATGTAGCTGAGTGTTACTGCTGTTCACCCCAACCCCCTTCCCACCCAATATGCTAATCATAGGAACATGAGAATATCAAAAGTACTGACAAGCAGAGGCAAGTAAATTGTAAACCTACAGATGTCCCCACAGGGATAGAACACACTTGAAACCAGGTTCAATGAAATTTGCCATTTAATACAATTTTAAAAAAAGATAAGAGAACCTAGATCCTCCAACAAAGGAGGCTGAGCTCCCCAGCCCTTCATCTATCCTCTCCAGGACTTTGAGCTAGCAGGATACAGAAGACTGCAATAGTCAACCCACAAGTATAGCTCTAAAGAGAAAACTGACAGATCTCAGTGCAGGTATAAAGCACTTCAAGAAAAATGGATTCTCACTATATTAGAAAAGACAGGATATGAGCAAAGCTACCCACAATGAGTATGAGCAAGTAAGATACAAAGAAAGGATATCAACTAGCTATGCAAACAAACAAACCAGAATCCACAAATTCATAGCATGTAAAGAATCATTATAATAAAAGGCTACGTGACTGTTAAAATGGAACGACCAGAATGACTGGTCACTATGATGTGCTCTGATCACCAGGGGGCAGAAGCCCAATGCAGGAGCTGTCCCCTGGTGATCAGTGCGCTCCCACAGGGGGAGCACCGCTCAGCCAGAAGCCAGGCTCACGGCTGGCGAGCACAGTGGCAGCGACAGGAGCCTCTCCTGCCTTCGAGGCAGTGCTAAGGAGCAGTGAGCAGGCAGGCAATAAGGACCGATGGGTCCTGGACTGTGAGGGGGATGTCCACCTGCTGGCTTAGGCCTGATCCCTGGGGGTCCCAGACTGTGAGAGGGCGCAGGCCAGGCTGAGGGACTCCCCGCCCCCTAGTGCATGAATATTGTACACTGTGCCTCTCCTTATTAAATAAAAGACAAATGTGGTAGAAAACAGATCAAGACCATAAGAAAATTCCCATAAGTCTTTTGGCTACAAAAAGTAATAATAACACCATTTTTTAAAAATATGGTTTTACTAGTATTGATTTTAGAGAGAGAGAAAGGGAGAGGTATAGAGAGATAGAAAGGCAACATCCATGAGAGAGAACCATCAATTGGCTGCCTCTTTCATGTCGCCTACTAGGAATTGAGTCCAAAACCTGGCATGTGCCCTGACCTGGAATCTAACCTGGGACCCCTTAGTTCATGGTTTGACATTCAACCATTGAGCAATACCAGTTTGGCAAAAACAATATTTTTAAAAAGAGCAAAACTAGTATCAAAGATCAAACATGGTGGATAGCAAAAAAGGAAAAAATCAAATGTTGATCTGTTTCTGGATTAAATTTTGTACCAGGAAAAAAAGAACCTATAAAGAACATCATGACAATTTTTAAAAATTAGATATGCACTATGTATTAGCTACTCTCTTACATAAATGTTAAATTTATGAATTTTTATTACTTTACTATGGCTGTGTAAGAGAATGTCTTTGTTCATGGGAAATGCACCCCCAAATTTTTTGTAAAAGGATCATGATGTTTATAACTTCCTCTTTAATGGTTTAGGGGGAAAAAAGAGGTGTGTGTGTGTGTGTGTGTGTGTGTGTGTACACCTATGTGCAATGGAGGCAAAAGACAAACAGGTGGTGACTGGATAAAGTATATACCGAAGTTCCTTGTACGATTTTTGCATTCTTGCAAGTTTTCTGTAAGTTTGAAATTATACCAATGTAAAAAATTACTAAAGCAAGTCAAAGCAATTCCTTTAGAGAGCTAATTTATTAAGGTGACCAATAAGGAATAGCCTATAGCCCACTGAAAACTGTAACTCTGACATAGAAGCTACCCTTGAGAGAATCACAGTAAATTCAAAGAAAGTTTAAAAAAATGGATTAAATAGTTGAAGAAAACATAGTAAATGCATTGTACAAAGAGGATCCAACATAAACAAAATAGGTTTCTCAGCAGGAGAAAACCAAATGGAACAGAAAGCAATTTAAATATACAATAGCAGAAAATTTCTCTGAAAATAAAGAGGAACTTATTTTGCAGACAGAAAGAGGACCCTCTATTTTAAGAAAGGCTGGATTATTAAAACTGAAACAATCCTCGTTCAGTTACTGAGTTTCAAAGATATGAATTTTTTTTTCAAATATCCAGTGAGAAAAGGAGAGATAGTGAAGTAAAGAATCAAGGTGACCTCAAACTACTTCAGAGGGGAATTCAGGCCCAGAATATGACGAGTCAGTATGTACAAGGTTTAAGATAAAGGGATCCAGGGAAATTACCCTCAGCCAATTTGCCATTCAAATATAAAGGTAGCAGGCATTCGGAAGCATGAAAAAACTCAAGAAATTGAACTACCATGAGCCCTACTTAGGGGAAAAGCTACTTGACAATCACATTCAAGCAAACAAAATTTAAAAGGAAAATTGTGCTAAAGGATGAACTAGCACATATTCAGAGATAGAAGATTAGAGAAATGTCCAAGTGCAAGGGGAAAAATTGTGATCCACTAATTTCATACTTTAAGCAGGCTGAAGGTTCAATTACAGGTCAGGGCACATACCTAAATTGCAGGTTCAATCCTGGTCTGGGCATGTACAGGAGGCAGCCAATCATGTTTTTCGCTTTCTCTCTCTCTCTCTCTCTCTTTCTCTCTACTCTCTCTCGCTCTCCCCCCCTCCCTCCCTCCCTCCCTCCCTCTCTCTCTTCCTGCCACTTTCTCCAAAATCAATAAACATTTCCTCAGATGAGGATAAAAAAAGGGCACAAAATTGGGAAGTCATAGCAATCTCTCTTCCTGCCTCTTTCTCCAAAATCAATAAACATTTCCTGAGATGAGGATTAAAAAAAAGGGCACAAAATTGGGAAGTCATAGCAAAAATGCTGGTACTGATCATTTAATCCATAAGAATTTTCATTAAGAAGAAATAAAAGGATACCTTGAAAAAATGAAAAGTTATAATATCACTATAACAGAGATGTATTCAGTGCTATCTATAATTACATGTGGTTAAAAATCAGAAATAAATGAGTTCTTATACCTTATTACTGTCTAAAATAAATCATAGAAAAAATGGTCTCAATTGCTTACTGTTTATTTTTACCTTTTTCCTTAATTTTTAATTTTACTGGTTGGACCATAAAAATTGAAAATATTCCAAAATGTTAAGTCAAACTACATGAAATTGCCTCTTGTGATTAAACATTTTTGTGATTTAAAAAACTTATTTGAAATGTACAATATCCTTTAGTTTCCGTTCAATTATTTTTATTATATTGGGTAAGTAAATGTATAACTTTAAAAACAATTATGTAGAATATAAGTTTATTTTTAAAAAATTATTACTATATTTCCTATAACCCATCCTCCTAACTATAAGTTCTTATATGTATGTTTATGATATAAGCAGAGAAGTTTAAAATGAAGCTCATTAAATATTAATAATAGTTTTTTTCAGAATAGTAAAATTTTGTGGGGATTTAGACTTTCTTTTGTATTTCTTTGTATTGCTTGAATTTTTCAAAACCAAGATATAGCCTTTTTTAGGAAAACAAAAAAGTCATTATTCTAAGGTAAATATCACTAAAACAACCAAGGGGGGAGCCATGGGGGAACCCACAGGCCCTGAGAAGTTTCTGGCCTGCCTCTTAGATTTGCAGCGGCTTCCATCAAACCGAGTGAACAACTTTCTGACGAATATTAAGATTTCCTCCCCTGATGTTTTGTTACTGAACCAGACCTTTGTAAATTCAAGAATGTGGTTATGATTTACTATTCTCCATCCACAGAGGTTTAGGAAGTAGAATGCACAGACATAATTTCTCTTCAAACTGGTCAGCCAACTACTAGCATCGGTCTCAACTGGGTACTTGTTAGACGTGCAGAATCTCAGGCCCATCCCCGGATAATACAGAGACACAACCTGCATTTTAACAAGATCCCCAGAGGCTCTCTGTATAAGGTGAAGCTTAAGAAATACTGCTTTAAAACATCTAATAGCTTAATTCTCCAACAGGGATGTTGGACAGCAGCTTTCATACAGCTTACAGAGATTAGCCACTCAGTGGGTTTGCAGAAAGAAGAACAAATTTATTTTTTCTGTCCACATGAAGGTTCTTATGCAAGACAATGGAACTAGGTATCATGTGACCTAAGGGGGGACCATCTCTTGTGTGGCGGGCATCCACACACAACATTTTCAGAGTGACCTCAAGTGATATTCAAGAAAATAGACACAGAACTTGGATGGTTAAAAGAGGTAAATTTTGTTTGTTAGCTTGTTTTCTTGGAGCAGGATATGAAGAATCAGGCAGAGGGCAGAGTTAACATTGTCTACAGTGAAAAAAAAAACATCAACAACACAGCATTACCTGCAAGATTTCTCAGCCCATTCAATTCCTTTTCCAGACTGTCGAAGGCTTGTTGGTCAGCAGTGTTGTCTGAAAAAGGCTCATTGTGGTCAGTAATATCAATGTGCTCAATTTCTGAAATTTCAGAAGCAGCTCTAGAAAAAGATTGAGCTGGGGCACTTCTTGGTGGAGGATGGAAGGAGAAATTATAGTTGGAACTTATTTTAACAGAGGTGGAAAGTGGTAAATTTGCTGTTGAAGGTCTCTGTGATGTCTTGCCTAAAATGAAAAAAAATTAAATCAACTACTTTTTAATTTCTGAATGAGTGCTTAAAGACACAAAATACCAGTCCTCTAATCTTAGAGCATTTCCATTCATGCAAGAGAGTGTATGAAAAATTAAATTTTAGGTTATCATCCATACTTTGCTAATCCCAAATTACTTTTCCCATGTTATAAAAAATACTTCTCGGTAAATTTTTCATAATTTTTCTATATTCAGAAAAAGATTAAATAATTTTAATATTAACTAAAGCAAAAAATCTGCAAACTAAGTCAATTTCTGTCCAATACAGCACTCAATCTTATGTCATCTATCTCCTAGGCAACAGCTGTGCATTTTTCTTAAATTCTAGGATAATACCACACTATGCCTTGTCAAAGGAAACAACCCAAGGATAATCATGGTGCCACTTCCTAGTGAACCATACCTGATGGCATGTAACTTATTTTTATATTAGAACAAACATGGAGCCCGGCCCTAGTGGCTCATTGGTTGAGTGTCAACCTATGAACCAGGAGCTCATGGTTCAATTCCTGGTCACGGCACATGCTTGGGTTGCGGGCTCGATCCCCAGTGGGTTACATGCAGGAGGCAGCCGATCAATGATTCTCTCTCATCATTGATGTTTCTATTTCTCTCTCCCTCTTCCTCTCTTAAAACAATAAAGATACATTTTTAAAAAATAAAGATGAAGACAAAATAGATTAGTATAAATTATTTTTAAAATTAAAAGTATAGGCATTAAAGAAAGTGAGAACACATCTCTAATTTCCTAAACATGAGTTCACTCTCTGCTGCCTTATGGGGCACTCAGTGGAAAAGTCCCGGAAGCACAGATCTAAGTCAGGTTATCACTGTGTTCTACCACGGCAGTCAGGGCTTGATTTATTTCAAAGGTTGGTTTCGTTGGTTTCTTCAACAAGTGTGTCTCTTTCATAGTATGAAGAAAATAATCCCTTCAAATTTTATACTAATACAACATAATTAATTTATAATTTGGCACTGTTCCAAGATTCTTTAATAAAGGGAATTTTCAAGGTGCAAATTTAGAAATGCATAGTACTGGTAAAGTTTTAACCGTACTGAATCACTGTTCTGATTTAGATAAATATATTTATATTAAGTATAAATGATTTATATTAGAAGATAAGCTTGCATTCCCTTAACACAAATTGGCATTGTGTAAAATATTAAAATCTTTAGAGAAGTGCTATTGTCATTATCATAAAAATTATGATTTGCCTGAACATATGCCATATAGCATTATGCCCAATCTATTGACTCAAAGGAAAATGTAAAATTCAGAAGAGAAGCTACAGACAGTTGGCATGTATTAAATATTTAATGACTATTGAGTTATTTTTTTAAATTTACAGATCTACTCTGAATGTAGCTAGTACCCTAAGAAGAATCTTAATGCAGTGGGTAATTATTTAAGCAATTAAAACTGACTAGGGTAAGTCCCAAAGGGCATCAATTTTAATAAACACTTCAGAAATCAATTTTGAAAACACTTTTTGTTGGAATAAAATTATGAATAAATTAAAACAAGATCCTAACCTTTTGTGTCTATTTGTGTTTGGGGACTATTATGGAAAAAAATATCTGACAAAAATTTGCCTATGTTTTAAGAAAAATAAATGTAGATATCCCTAAGAATTATTTTAATGGCAAGAATTTAAAAATGATTTACCCTTTTACCTATAATATGTAATGAACCAATATTTTATCCATAGCCACCTATAAAAGCAAATTTGCCATTCATTCCTGCATAATGAAGCAGTGATAGGAACAAAAATAGAAGCACAGGTCAGTGCATGTAACAACAAATCACCTACATAAGTCAAAAGTTTTAGGTCTATTGGTGCTCTTGTTCCAGCATCAAGAAGGGTTAAGCAATCTGGAGAAGGGGGCCATGTATAACTTAAAGAGTCCAGAGACGAAATATAATTTTGAAAGGCATTTGGGGGTCAGAGGAGCTTAGCTAAAAGGAATTATCTCAGGACCCCATGCTTTTATTAACACAAATTGTCCTGAGCGAGGCAGAGATATACACATCAGAGTGTCAGGGTTTCCTATACAGAAGCATTGTCAGATTGGGGGAAATTAGCCTACAGCTGTTCAGGTGTTTGGCAAGTAGGAGGCAATAACATGTAGATTAAGATGCCCTGAGCTGTCTGGCAGCAAGCAATCCATCCCTTTTCAGGTTTGGGGAAAAGCCATCAGCCATTCCCAACAGGTGACAACATATGTGACTCAGCCCTTATTGAGTCCCCCAGTTCCATCAACCTTTTCACGGAAACTCTTGCAATTATGACATGCTGGAATTGGCTTCCAGCATAGGTCTATGGAGAAAACCACACCCATCTATCTGTATTGTGCTAGGTTTCAGTCAAATAAAATTTAAAGGGGTTTAGCATGCTTATGAAAATAAAACAAACAAAAGAATTATTAGCAAGAACTGGACTTCTGCCAACACAGATAGATATGAGGTGAAAACATTTTGACATAACGTAGGTGTCCTTTAGAAAATTCAGGAGAGTACAAATACTTTCCGAACTCTTATAACAACATCTGGTTGCCACAATACTTGAGGGCAATTGAAGCCAATTGAGAAAAAAATAAAAGTATACCAGAAATGAATCAGACTTATGCTTAGCACACAGCAAGGAGACAGACCATCTTTCTTAATGAAAATACATTCAAAATGCAATTTAGAGTAACCAACATGCAGAGACAGAAGATGCTCTAATTTGGTCCTTGACTTTAGTCATTTATTTTATTCATGTAGGTGGGTATGTCATTCTCTTTCATGTTTATTGTATAAGCTTATTAATGTTATTGGTAGGGTTAAGATTTGAGACACAGTTAAGGCTGGCATTAATGAAAAATGCCACTATTGCAGGGATCATTCCATACTTTTTTACCATCCAGTTGGTAGATTATAAATATAAGAAATTACTTTAGGAGTAATTTGTGCCATCACTGGCAATGTAATCTTGGGAAATTATAGATTAACACTGATCACAGTTAGACTCTAAATATAACACATGAAATCGCCGTTGGTATTAGCTGAAGAATATATGCTCTATGATTACTAATGTGACAATGCCAAATATTGGAAAGATAAAATTGAAGGATGCCTTTGGGTTATATTAATGGGCACAAGAATGCCGATAGGAATATGAAAATATGAATCACTCACTGAATAACAACAATAGTCATGGTTGCTATTCTAATTACAAATTAGAATTGATGAAGCATCATCAGGGCAACATGGTTTTTGCACAGTGTTTCAGTAACAATTTCTATTCTGGTCATAAGACCCAATATTTCATTCTTGAACAAAGGTTGCAAAACATTATTGTCTATTGATATTCTTGCTCAACTGTGTAAACTACCGAGAATTTGTACATAAAACATAGAAATGTGTTTTCCAGCAGTTCTTGAAACACATATGGATATTTTATTCAGCAGCACGGTTTAGTAGAAAAAATGCTAAACTGGGAAGCAAGAACCTGTCTCGTCTCCCAGAATTAGAAATCAGCTTCTGACCTGAGACATGAAAATTCATATCTTGCCAGTAAAATTAAAGAGTTGGACAGAATAATGTCTTAAATCCCTTCCAACTCTGAGAACTTGTAAATTCACACCCTATCCAATTCAATTACAAAATCATGTGTCAAATCCTAAAACTACTAGGCACTGTGTCAGGATCCAGGTTATTCCTAAGTGAATCAGACATTGCCCTACCCTCAAGCTGCACTCCAGACTAACACACAGTCCCACGCTCCAGCCACCCTCAGTCAGAGGCACTGCCTAAGTGCTTACAATGACCCAGGGTCTGTTCCATCACTGAAGATGCACCAATGAACGGGACAGGCTAGGTTCTTGTTTTTTTTCCCCCAACTGTGGGTAGGATCAGCAGAAAATATACAAGTAAACGAAAATAATTTCATTTAGTGATAGGTTCTATGAGGAAGACAAAGGAAGGTAAATGTGATTAAGGGACTCAAGAGACCAGCATTAAATAGATGGGATGGTCTGAGAAGGCCTCTCTCTAAGGAGGCAGCCTCTGGGCTGAGACTGAATAATGGAAAAGAATCAATCATATGAATGAGGATATGAAGATGGAGATGAAGGCTTTAGAGCATCCTGGGTCAGAGGGAAGAGCACCGTTTAAAGCTAAGACATAAGGTAAAAGTGTGGCTTGTCTAAGAAAAGAAAGGAAGCCAGTGGGGCTGTGATGGGGGAGAAGCTGCAGTTAGAAAAGACGGGCAGGGCCAATACAGGTGCTGCTGTGTAAGGCACAGTAAGGAATATGATTTTTCTCAATCTTCTCTAAGAGGATATGGGAAGCTTTTCAGCAGAAAGGTTGACATGATACAATCTATGACTTAAATTTATGGGAAATACGATCCACTCCCTATAAATTGTAAATAATTTTATGACAACAAATATGAATAATTCATTCACTGACTATCAGTAGTAGAATTTGATGGGAATTAATCATAGCTTTATGAAGAGGCAAAAGTGAATTTTGGGGAGACAAGTAAGAGGTGATGAACTGGCTTGGGTTCATCTTGAGCAGATAGAAGTGGTTAGATTTGAGCTGAAAACAGCAGAATCTACAGATTAATAGGATGTGATGAGTAGGAGAGTCAAGAAGATTCTCTGGGCTCAGACTTAGCAATGTTTGGATGGTGGTGCCATTTACAGAGACAGAAAGATGGGTTGGGGGAGGACTAGGAGTAGGTTTTAGGAGGAGGTGGGTAGAATCAATGGACTTGCTGGTAAACATACATATCTTTCATAACTATCGTGTTTTACATTCACAAATCTAAAAAATCTTGCAGAAATAGGAATTCCTTTATATACTGGCATCAGTTCAGAATGTAAGACTTCCACAAGTTATGGCATAGCCAGGAAAATTTTGTTTTACATAAGGCCACTGATAAAGCCATTTTTGTCTCCATAAAGCCATTTCTCTACGCTCCTAACTGGTGAATCTTATGATTTCTTCAAGCTTTGGCTGAAATGTCATTTAGTTTCCAATACCTTGCATATCTACACTTTTCAGTGGCAAAACAATTATTTTACCATCGCCATGCCTAAAAGACTGCACAGGTACCTACCTCTATTATAACTATTATTAATTACACTTCAATCCCCAAAACTATGTCTCTCATAGTCTTTTTATAAAACTTAGAGATGATATAATTGATGCTTACATATCTATATAGCAGTTTTCTCAATATATGATTTTGGACAACTATATTAGTATAACTTGGAGTTGTCGATAAAATAAATGCAAATTCCCGGAGCTTATTTCAGCCCAAATAAATCAGAATCACTAGGAGTGAGGTGAGGTGAGTCGTATTACAATAGGTCTCCCCCATGACTCTGCTCCCACTGACATCCGAGAACCTCTGTGCCAGACTCAGCTCTGGGGCCACGGGAAGGAGGGCCATTTCATATCACCTGTGTCTGGTAGTGCCTGGCCTGAAGTCGGTACTCTCACAGATGTTTTAATAGTAAATTATTGATTTCAACTGACCATTCCAAATGGATATTTAAAGGCATTTGGATAATTATGTATGAAGATTTGTCTTAGCAACAAGTTTCTCAGAGCATGCTGCATGTGAATTTGTATTCATCAATATACCGTGACTTAAAACATTCACTCAGAAGGAAGCAACCAGAATTTTTGAAGATGATCTAGATTCTGATATGAGTATGGGTACCTAACAATAGAGTCAAAAAACATTTGTCATAAATGGATGATTTTTGCACTCAAAATATCTCATGTCTGACAGTTTCATAACATAAATGCATATGGAAAATATCTCATCTAGCCAAGGAGCTTTAATCATAGGATTAGGGCAAGGGAGACATATAAGTCTTACATATCTGTACAAATTATATGTAATTAAATTTCTGGTTTTAAGATGGCTTTCAGACAAAGGCAAAAAGCCCCCTTTTTCAAGTGTCCCTCCTAAATTGTTCAGGGAACCTTACTGATGCATCCTTTATCCCCTAGTGCAGCCCAGTGCTAACATAGTCAACACATCTGTGTTGAATTGCCTTAATTCATCAGTTACTTATTGCAAATTCACATAAAATTTGGCATAAGTCAAACTTACTTTAGCAGGCATTATTGGATAACAAAAATGAACTAATAATAACTAGTGATTGGAATAATGTCAAAATTCTCTGCATATACTCACTAAGAAAATATTGCAACACACATTCAACATGCCAAAAGAAAATCTTGCAATTATTTAGGTTAGAGAATAGAGCAAGTGAACTAAATCAAGAGCCCCAGGTTAACACCCTCAACATTAGGTTTAGAATGGAGGTATCTCAGCAGTAATCTTAGCCTAAACTATTCATTACGTAAATGGCTATATTTGATCATCATATAAACCAAGTGGAGAAGTACACAAAACCCAGTATGAATACAGTTTTCCTCAGAGCGTAATGAAACTGAGTAGGTAAGGATTGTCCAAAGTATACACCATATCCTGAGCTACATTTTTAGAACATTATGCTCCAATACATCGCTACAGCAAATAACTAAGGTTGCAACTCAGTTTGTTTGTGTGTGTGTATGTGTTTGACAGGAATAATGATGACTCTAGGTTTTTTGGTTTGGGGAGAAAAGTATAGGACAGTTAGTTAAAATGACTAAGTTTAAATTATAACACTGCAAAAATTAATTTTCAGGTGGCTAGTAAACTGCTAAAGACAAACTAATAGCGTGAATCACCAACATGTCACTGTCCAGTATGTACAGTCCATCTCACCTATCTTTTGCTGTGTTCTACTTGATGATGGGTTCTGGCCACTCTGCACAGCACCCGAAGCAACTGCACTGTTAGGACTTATGCTCTGGTCTGGGATCCAGTCTCTGTCTCCTTAAACAGAAAAATGGTACAATTATATACATTGAAAAGGAGAAAAATTCATGTTGCTGCTTTATTTCTTTTCCTTTGTTATTAGCATTGAATTTATTGGGGTGACATTGGTTAATAAAACTATATTATCTTACTGGATAATATTTAGCTAAAAAGGAACATTTATAACAGTTTGGTATATATTATGAAAGACAAAAT